CATGCTCTGATGACGTTGCTGATATATATATATATATATATATATATATTGAATGCGTGTAAAGCAACAGATGAATTACCAGAAATAATCAAGTCGTCGACGTAAACGAGAACACATAGATGAATGTGACCATCGTGGAAGGTGAATAACGAGTGATCGAATTGAGACTGACGAAATCCATAATTCTCCAAAGACGAACGAAGCTTTTCAGTGTATGTGTTGTATATGTATGTATATATATATATGTGTATGTGTATGCATATGTATATATGTATATATATGTGTATGTATAATATATATGTATATATATGCGAATGTATATGTATGTATGTATATGTATATATATGTACGTTTATATATATGTATTAATATATATATATGTGTATGTATATTGATATGTATGTATATATATGTATACATATATGTGTGGATGTGTATATTTATATACGTATGTATATGTACATGTGTATATATATGTATATATGTATATGTGTATGTATATGTATATTTTTATTATTCATATATATGTATATTTATGTGTATGTATATATATATTTATATATAGTATATATATGTGTGTTTATATGTGTATATATATATGTATATATGTGTATATATATATTTATATACGTATGTATATATACATATATGTATATATATGTGTATGTGTATATATATATTTCTTATTTATTTTATGATTTTTATTTAATTAATTAATTATTATTAAGTAATTTATTTTTTTATTTAATTTTTGACGTGGCGATAACATGGCGCGATGATTAGGAGAGAGGTTGAGAATTTCACCGCTACATAGGATTTCCGTTTGTCTACGTGGCAGTTATTTGACGGTAGGTATTTTTTGGCGAATAATTTAAAAGTATAGGATTTATTTGGAGAAAAACCAATTGTAAAGGTATTATTCAGTAATTAAAAAAGTACAAGTATTAAATTGAGACCAGAAAAAAATACAGGTATTTTACGGCGATTCTCCCAATTTAATAATGAAATTTATAAACAATACTTTCATTTATTCATATATGTTTTTAATTGATGAAATACCCAAATTGTTTTTTCAAAATAAATTAGCTGAAAAAGAAATGGAGATGAAGGCTCCAAGTCACAGAACGATATTCGATAGAGATGGAGAGGAGAGAGAGAGAGGCGGGAGAGGAGAGAGAGGATAGAGAAGAGATGGATCTATAATATATTAAAATTAAAAATGAAGAATATTTTTTGAAAGATACAATTATAAGGTTATGAGATGATATTGTCTTTTTTTTTTAAAAAAAAGTCAAGGTCATCCTTTGAAGTCAAGATCGATATTTTGGGTTATTTTTGCAACTCGTCCAAATAAAAGTTCCTGGAATAATTATTATAACAACATGAAATCATATATATATATATATATTCTCCTCTATTTTTTTTTAAGATAAACATTTAATTATTCATTACATTTTTTTTCATATTTTCTGATAACGAAAACAAAAACATCAGAGACTGCTGCTAATTGTGGGTGGGCATAGATTCAGCACATGATGATGGTAATTAAGACGTCGAGCCATCCACCTGGAAGAAGATGACAGAATTATCAACTGTATGTGAATAACATATAATATAGTTTTTTTTTTAATTATTATTTTTATTTTAATGATGTTTTCGAAATTCAACCTTTACGTAGTTTTAGTTACACGCATGCACATAAATTTAAAGAAAAGTGGATATTAATTGAGACTGCACGCGTTACAAAGAAAAGATGTCATTCCAGGGCTATGCAACCATCATCGTCATCATACATGACGGGATCCATACATCATGACATCCGTGAGTCTACAAATATGTATCCATGCGGCCATACGCATGTTGTACATGGATGCATGTACGGACATTTGCATGTATTCAATAGGGATCTAAATATGGTGCTGCGAGAAATCACGTGATGTGCACATGGAAATCCGTAGAGAATCTATGGAATCTATTCTCTGTGCTAATTATTGCGAACATGAGACAAATGTGAAGATTCCATTTTCCTTTATTGAATTAGTAAAATAAAGAAACATACGAAGTCATAAGATACTATAAATAAATAAGCGAATAATGTATTCAATTATTATTTTTTTTTTTTGGGTAATGACCAATGTATGTCTATACAAAGGAAGCAAATATAATATCACCTCTCATTCAATTATTATTATTTTTTGCTAAGTCCCACATATATGGACCATTTTAGAATATATATATATATATATAATTGTAATAATAATTAGGGATGGTACAGTCTGGTGGGTCAAAGAAGATGATTGAGACAGAGAGAGGATGAATGTCAGAAAGTTGCCTTCTGAGCAAAGCTGTTGCTTTGTCATCACCCCAAAAGCTTCTATACGATTAGATAATAATAATAATAATAATAATAATAATAATAATAATAATAATAATAATAATAATAATAATAATAATAATAATAATAATAATAATAATAATAATAATAATAATAATAATAATAATAATAATAATAATAATAATAATAATAATAATAATAATAATATGGAAAGCAAAAAAATGGCGACTGACTAGATGCCAATTTCTATTGTTAGTAGTTCAATAGCTCAATCAGATTGTATCAAATCGATACATACGTCCATCGACGCAAGAATTTGGATTAGACAACGATTAAAGTTAGTTTTCGCGTTCCAATGTCAGTTATCGAAAACCTCGTTTCTTTTTTGTCTTCGTTTGTAAGATAAATCCAAATATTTTTGAAATATTATATATATATATATATATATATCTAAAATTTAGATATCATAAAAAAAACTCTGACACTTTTTTCGTTACTAATTAAATTCTATGTTTATTATAATTAATCAATAAAACTCCAAACTTTTTAAAAATTTATCAAAAATTCCTCACGTTTACCAATTAAAAAAAATAATGATGTGACAATGATATAGTTTCTAAGTGATACAAATATCGTCATAATTATACTACATCATCATTTTAAATAAAATTTCAATTGAATAATTTATTTAAATTAATATATATACATACAAATTCATATATACATATATATATTAAAAATAAAATTACTTTTTTGACACTAAAATAAAAATAAGAAAAATAAAAATAAAAATAAAGTTACTTATAATTAATATAACATATATATACATATCTACAACATATATATTATAAATTATATGTAAAATCATATATATATATACATATTTTTTTAATATATATTGTGTATATATATGTGTTATAATTACTTTTATTTTAATATACATATTAGTTGTATATGTATATGTTGTATGTATAATTAATATATATATATATACATATTATTTTTAATATATATATTATATGAATATATGTATATATGTTAATTATAATTATTTTTATTTTAATATATATGTATTAGTTTTAATATATATATATATATAAATATATATATATATATATATATATATATATATATATATATATATATATATTTAAAA